CAGGGGAGGCCGGGCGGCCCTCGGCGAGGCGCTGCGGCAGCGCGGGGCTTGTAAACAGATCCGGCCGCACGTGACCATGTGAACTACCTGCCCGGGCGACGTGTATTGTCCTCCCCGGGAGCCGCGCCACAAAGGAGCCGGGCGGTGGAGCGCGGGGGAAGAGCGAGCGAGCGAGCGGGGAAGAGCCGGCCGGCGTGCTAAGATGGCTGAAGGCGCCCGGCGAGGGTGAGCGGGGGGCGCGGCGCAGGACAGCCGTCCTGACCTCGGGGCCCCGCGGCCCGGCGCCGCGAGCCACCATGTCCTTCGCGCTGGAAGAGACTCTGGAGTCGGACTGGGTGGCTGTTCGGCCCCATGTGTTCGACGAACGCGAGAAGCACAAGTTCGTCTTCATTGTGGCCTGGAACGAGATCGAAGGCAAGTTTGCCATAACCTGCCATAACCGGACGGCCCAGAGGCAGAGGAGCGGTTCCCGGGAGCAGGCGGGGGCGCGGGGAGGCGCCGAGCCCGGCGCCCCGGCCTCCGATGGGACCCGCGGGCCTGGCAGCCCGGCGGGCAAGTGCCGGCCCGAGGCCGGTGCTTCTGCTACACCCGTCCGGAGCCCCGGGCCCCGGAGGAGCCCGATTTGGGCGGACGGCGGCTCTCCGCGGAGCCCGCGCAGCCTTCGAGGGGACCCACTGCTGCGGGGTCCGGCGGGCAAAGGGGCGGAGAGTCCACTCCGGAGCCCCGCGCGGGCCAAGCCCAGCCCGGTCCGGAAAGGAGCTGAACCCAGAGATGCGACGAGGCCTGCCACTGCAGCATCCCCTCCGGCGCCCAGGGAGGCCCCCGTGTCCTCGGTGCGGGTAGTAAGCGCCTCCGGGGCGGTCTCCGAGGAGATCGAGGTGCTGGAAATGGTGCGGGAGGACGAGACGCCCCTAACAGTCACCGACGCGGAGCAGCCGCCGCCCGCCGCCGCCACCACCACCGAGCCTGAGTCTCCCGCCGAGGAGTGCAGTTGGGCTGGGCTCTTCTCCTTCCAGGATCTGCGCGCCGTGCACCAGCAGCTCTGCTCGGTGAATTCGCAGCTGGAGCCCTGCTTGCCGGTGTTCCCCGAAGAGCCTTCCGGAATGTGGACGGTGCTGTTTGGGGGCGCCCCTGAGATGTCCGAGCAGGAGATCGACGCTCTGTGTTACCAGCTCCAGGTTTACCTTGGACACGGCCTGGACACTTGTGGCTGGAAGATCCTTTCCCAGGTGCTCTTCACGGAGACCGATGATCCTGAGGAGTATTACGAGAGCCTCAGCGAGTTGAGGCAAAAGGGCTATGAAGAAGTGCTTCAGCGGGCCCGGAAGCGCATTCAGGAGGTAAGGAAGGACCCCTCCCCCCTTTGCAAAGCCCGCGGTCATCAGGGTTCTTATCCGTCTCTGTGGGGGAGTGTGCCCGTGGGGTGTTTTCTTTTCTGCACTCAGGAAAAAGTAGAGCCGCCTAGGAGTTCCTGTCTCCCCGTCATTCCTTCCATTGCTTTCATTGGCTCGGTGAAGGGCCTTTGGTAAGTCTTAAGATTGCTCCCCCACTTTTCAAACAGATCTCATGGAGTAAGTGTATCCAGTTTATTATTCAGTTCCAGTGATAAGACGAAAGCCACTCAAAGGAAAAACAAAAAAAGAGAAAGATATCACGAACTAAGTGAATTTTACTCTGCCCCTAAAGCTTTTGCAGCAGCAGTAACAGCCCAGATAATCAACACTTTCCTGCTGTTTACTCATACTAATTTGTCTTAATGGAGCAGAATTGATCTGCTTTTTTTCCCTCCTTGTGCTGTCTGAGAATGTGGGCAGATTTAAAATACTTATTTCCTTTGCAGGGTTGGGAATGAAATACAGTGCAGTAAGCATGCTATACCTTAGCCCTGGATTCATTTTAAAATGTGACTTGTCCTAGTGGAAACCAACCAAGTAACAATTGGAAGTAAGCTGTATTTTTTTTTTTTTTTAGGTTAACTCAAGTCTTTACAGATGGCTCAGGTTTCAGTCCTGTTTTAGGGAGAAGGAAGGCTCTGTGTGAGTGCATTATGCATTTGTACTTTGTAGAAGAGTAAAGAGTGGAAAACGTTTTTTGTTTTTGTTTTCTTCAAATTAACCCGTAAAATAACAGGAAATAATGGGGAATTCCTGAACAATTAAGCTATACTTACAGAGCTCTACTGTGTGTGTGTATGTGTATGTGTATGTGTGTATATGTATTCATGTATGAAGTCATTCCTAATTTCATTCCTAATTACTGAGGAAACTTTACTAAGAAAAAAAGTACTTAAAGCTAGTTTCTTCTAATGGACAGTACATGTAGTTTCTCAAGCAAATTACTGCTTTTAGAATTAGTACGAAGATTGGATTTGGGGAGGAAAATGCTTTCTATGGTGTTTTTATTGGAATCTTGGCATAGACAAAGTTTCAGTCTTCTATGGTGTTTTTACTTTAATCTTGCCATTAGATAAAGTTTCAGTCCTCAGTTTGTTTTCATAGAATATTAGGTATTTTTTTTCTTTTTCTTGCTAGTCCTGGGGATTGAACTCAAGGCCTGGACACTATTCTTGAGCTTCTTTTGCTCAAGGCTAGCACTCTACCACTTGAGCCCCAGCATCACTTCCAGCTTTTTCTGTTAATGTGGTCCTGAGAAATCGAACTCCAGGCTTCTTGCATGCTAGGCAGGCACTCTACCACTAAGCCATATTCCCAGCCCTGTTAGATATTTTTCTGCCACTGCTTTTACACTTCCTGTATCCACATTTTTCACTCCTTCAGGTTGATTACGTTCTGTTAAGTGTTACCCATGGTAATATGATCCTAGAGTTCTAGGAATCTGTTTTTACTTCCATCTCACTTTTGCAGTCTTTTCTTCCTTAAAGTCTTTGTGGAAGGAAGTTACAGACACTATGTATTCTTGGTATTAATATTGAGCTGTACACTTCTTTTAAACTTTAGAACAAAGTTAGTGCTTCTCTTAGTCCACTACATATATATGTAGCATTTTTTCCATATTAGAATTATTTTCATACTTGAATGGTCCGATTTCAATTTTAATGATACTGAAAAAAGGTGTCTGTCTTTGGTTTTAGAATTCAAATGGGTAGCTGAGTGCCCGGTGGCTCATGCCTGTAAAATCCTAGCTAATCAGGAGGCTGAGATCTGAGGATCACCGTTCAAGTCAGCCCAGGCAGGATAGGCCATGAGACTCTTTTTTTTTTTTTGGGGGTCCGGTTATAGGCCCTGAACTCTGGGCTTGGGCGCTATTCACTGAGCCGCCTTCCCAGCCCCCAGGCCGTGAGACTATCTCCAATAAACCACTCAGAAAACCAGAAGTGGCTCTGTGGCTCTAGTGGTGTAGAGTGTTTGCCTTGAGCTGAAGAGCTAAAGGAGAGTGCCCAGACCCAGAGTTCAAGCCCCACGACCGACAAGACAAAAAAAAAATGGGTTGAAAATAAACTGCCAAAAAAGTACTCTTCTAGTTAAATTTTTTTTTTTTTTTTTTTT